TGGGGGGGGGAGAGGTTTGACACGGAAGGAATAGTAAAAATCCTGAAATTCCAGAAGCCATTTCATTTAAATCTCTCAACAATATTCCAGTTCTTGTGGAGAAACAAGATGCTATTTAACATTCCAAAACAGGTGTAGAAACATCAGCAGAATGTCAGAAAGTACCTTGTATTACTTATCTGGCATCAGGCCTACAAGCAAGACAAGTTTAATGACAGGGGTAGGTTCAAAAGAAAACTATTATATTAGGAGCTTAGATTTTTCTTGCCTTTGGTGGTATTCAGGCTGCCTTCCTCCTCTCCAATGCCCAAGAGGAGCAAATGGTGTAAGAAAGGATTCTCAAGAGACCTATATATCATTTCTAGCTGTATTGCTGCCAAGTTCTTCTCTACAGTTGGTCTATACAAAACAGGTCAAGGTCCCTTTATTGCTTATGATTAATTGAAAGAGCTCCAAACCAAATCAACAATAAGCTACAAAGGAAGCAGCTAAATTGTTCATTTCCCTAGAGGAAATGCTAGAGAATGTTTAGAGAGTCAAACCAAAGAAATTGCACAAGGAACTTGCAGTCCAGTCTGGTGAAACTCAGAAAAAAGAAGTTGCCGTAACTATCTCATGACCAAGAACACCGATATCAGCATTTCTTTCCTAAGAAGACACTTTTACAGTGATTAAAGATGGCCTACATGACCAATCAAAACTTAAGACATCATGAAGGAGTTAAGAAAAACAAAAGAGATTCAGAGTACCCTTTGCAACTGAGAATGAGAACAGAAGTATGAAAGATCCAATAATCTGAGACAAAATGCATTCAGCAAAGAACAGGCCAAAACATTCTTGAACCATGGAAGGACCTATACACCTTTTTAGCCATGGGATTTCCATTTAGGTACTTAAGAAAAACATGCTATAAAACTTTATCACTGGACTAGAAGCCTGTTCCTGGTAAACATAGATAAGGGGGACACCTGTCCCAAAAGATAAGTTAATCCCATCTCATAACCACTGCTCTGTCATATGAATCTTCACACATTTCAACTGGCCAGGTCTTACACCTATTTGCTGTAAACTTAAAGTAAATCTTTAAGTTTAAAGCCTCCTTAAAATTCAATGCTTCCCAACAGCTCAATTTTCTGAGACTGTCTTGTATAATGTTTTTCAGATAAAAGACATCAAATAATCAGAATCTGATCGCATTACTCTAAGAGAAAACATTACTTTTTCTGCAATGGTTCCTAATTTATCTGACCTACTGTTTGTCTGCCACAAAAAGCACCTTTATGGTCAGAGAGATCTGTATGAAACCCTGTCTATTAAATTGGCCTTAGAAGCTTTGGACTCAGCCACATATCCCATAGATACTCAAATCTCACCTTACCAGCTATTCACCTGTCTCCCAATGACTCAAGACTCCAAGTTTTACATCAAGCAAAATGTTCCAATTTCAATGAGTTTTCCATATACCAAAATGTGTTGGTACACATACACAATACAGTGTATTGGTACTCTGTCACTGAACAAAAATGACTTTTCATTTAATTGAACTTGAGCTACACAGCCATGTTGCAATTCCCTCACAGGAACATATGCATCAGCTGCAGAGACCGTCAGGATACACCGTTTGTCTATTTAGAATCACAGAATCATAGAATGCTTTGGGTTGGAAGGGACCTTGAGAGATCATCGAGCCCAACCCCCCTGCAGTAAGCAGGGATTGAACCTGTGAACTTGGCGTTATTAGCACCATGCTCTAACCAACTGAGCTAACCCGGCTGGTCCTGCCTGAGGAGAAATGCATCTGAAAGTCCAAATGACATAAGGGATCTCCCTGCCTTTTGTGAGTGCTCTACTTCCACAGATATTTATGGAATCCATCTCGTAGCCAAAAAGAGATGGAGAACAACTGCCCTTCAGCATTACAGTGCTAAGAAAGCGCTATCTCAGCAGAAAAGGTAATGGACAGTCACAGCAAGCCACATGAGGCCTCAGTCCAAGGATCCATGGGAAAGGAAGTGAGAGATTCCAGCGGTGAATGGGAAAACAGCCTTAAATATCAAACGCAAAAAGCCCTTTCTGCCTAGAAGGAGGTCTTGGAGACATGCTCTAGGGTTCTGGAAGCTTGCTGCCCACAACAAAACAAAGTGGCTAAACAGCCCATGGCTCAGGTGCATCCCCTGAGACTCTTCTATAGTCATACTAGAAATCCAGATAACCTCACTCCCTCACCTGCTATCCTCCTCAGCTCTTGGCTTGTTGAAGTCACTCACCTGTAGCTTCTGGTATGGATTTCTCCTGACAGATTCAGATGAATGATGAATGGCCCGGCTTGACCGCTGGCCTGGATCCTGGCACACAAAGCCTATGGGCATCAGAAGCCACATGAGAACTTTTAAGACAGGCAAACCCTGAAACATAAACCTAGCATTCCTGTTAATGATCTCAGTCTATACATGACCTTCCTGTCCCTCCCCAACGACCAAAAAGGATGCTTTTCTTTTTTATATCTTGCTTTGTTTAATCCCAAACTGTACATTGCATTACAGTTTTTGAATAAAACTGGAACTTGCTTCAAATCCAAGTACTTAAATCAGTAACGTGTTACTGAATAGCAGCATAGAGATAGGCTCCTTTTCTTAAATAGCTGAGCAGGCTACCTGAAGCCATTCTGCCTCTTTTAGTATTAGGGGAAAGCTGTATCAAGTAACTGAACCAAGATGTATTAGGGATGTCTAAAAGGTGCTAAGCATTAGAAAGTCATGCAGCTCACAAGCATGACTCCGCTTCTAACACAGCCTAACTAGAACCCACAAATTCAACCTAAAAAAAAAATGCATGAATACTGATTCTGAGGGCTAAACAGAAGTCATCTGCTGAAGAGAAAGAGTAGTGTCTTCAAACACCAAATTAGGGACTCTTAATACCACGTAAGCATCACAAACAGCCAGATAATTCTGAAGCTGAAATGTCCACATATAACTTCCCAGTACTAAATACAGTTGCTCCTGTTAACTAGAGTTCTCCTCTATTATACTCATCTAATAACATGCAGCTCATAAACCTACTTTTTATTGGTTTTAAATGAAGAGAAGATTGAAGGAGTTTTTTGTTACACTCACCTACAAGAGTGAACATATCTGAAAGCATGCTAGCTTTGATCTTCAGGTCCAAAGGAGCATCACTATACCCACATACAAAAGAGGACAAGAGGAATTATTTGTCTGGCATTAAATGAGAGGAATGCATCAATATCCAAGATATCTTCCAATATAGTTTCTTTGTATTGGTCCTTAACACAGACATAATCAACATGGGCAGAAAACTAGGTGATTTTCACACACATAGGTAAACACAAAAGAGCAACAGATTAATCTGTTTGTTTGTCCTTTTTCACAGCTCTAGTCTTCTAATGCAATAATGTACAGCCTTGTTTTAGCTCTGCTTAGCTAGAAACATTTTCTTTGAATGTATCTATGCTACATTCCATGAAGTGGAGTTTGCTCTCACAGATTTCTTAAAAACCACAATTACCTACACCTCTTCCACATAAAATCATAAAATCAGATGGGTTAGTTCTAATGGATGGGAAAAAATGATTAGGGAATGTGATAGCTATGAAGAGATCAGACAGTGGGGACAGATGGGAAGCATCCATAATTTTATCCAGTGGGAAAAATCAGTGCATACAGTTCAAATCAGACAGGCAAAGTTTGATTCCTTGGGAGCGGAGAAATCAGCTATGTTCTACAGCACAGTGATAGATGCCAACAGCTTGGACAAAGAAAATGGTAATCATAACAAAGCAGAGCAAAGGATGCAGATGTGAGAGTTTTATGTAGTAAAGGACACAAATAATTCAGTGTGTATGCATATGAGCACAAACCACCAAACCAGGAAATTAAATATTGTGGAAACATTCTAGTTGCACCTGAAAACAAAATAGATACTATGGAAGCTAGGGTTATGAACAGTGTGTGAAAAAAATTCTATGCAGGATGGGGGCAGGGAAGAAATCTAGAAGAAGGTCAGATATGGCTATTCCAGGAACATAAAGCTTATTTATACCATCATAATTGAAATATTACTCACAATACTACAAAAGTGTTTTATGTATCTGTGCTCCTGTGAAGTTAAACAGTAGTTCAGAAAACACACATAGTTGGAGATCTACAAAAATAAATCCTCAAGTTTCATTAGAGCATGATGGTCAGCAAAAGGGCCAAGACAACACTAACTCTTTAGATTTTAGCTAAAGAGAGTACCAGACCAAAAATTTGAGCCCAAGCATGCAACTACTTACTCAAGTCAAGCATAATGCCTGAACTCTGCTTGGACTCCAAAATCTTAAAGTTTCTATTCAGCCAAGCAGATTGAAACCCCACACAATAGTCTGGAGAGTTTCAAAATTCATCTATGATGGGAGATTATGAAGTGTTAACAATGATGACGGACTGTGGAGGAGGAATAATTAAAAAGAAAATGGAATCCCAACCGGGTTCTTTCAAAACCTACGGCTGCAATAAGTTTGTTTATGCAAAGGGAAAATCAAAGGACTATCCTCTGTCAACTCTTAGCAGTGGAACAAATACTCTGCAGGCATCATGAAATCGTGCCCTCCCCTAGGACCACAAGTTTCAAGGACAACCATCTCTAGCAACAGCCCCAGCCTCATATTAAACTGGGAATCACTTACCAGGCCAATGATGGGGATAAATTCACTTCCAGCAGCCAAGGTTTGAGAGTGTCATCAATAAGGACATCAAAACCATACAGCTCTGAAAACACAGCAGACACTGGTAAGTTTACCTTACTGCACCTTTAAACATTCAGGTAAGGTCCAACATTAGTCTCAGGCCATTTCTATCTATACCATTTACATTAAATCCAGTGAACTCTCTAGGGCTGAACAAATAACAAACAACATTCCACAAGTGGGAAATTTCACTTCTTCAGAATCAAGATTAAATATATTCTGTTTGCGGGGGAAAGAGGGAAGCAGAAAATGAGTCTTAGGAAAGTAGTATATAGAAAAATAAACTCTTTGCTGTCCACAAACTGTAGTTCATGCAGAACTCTACTACTTGTTTTCACATAGAATTGATGCAGGCACAGCAGGTCCAATCTACTTCTTCCAGTGGATCCTGGAAACCACAGAACTTCATTCTCCTTTTCACTTTTTAAATCCTACATTCATTGTTCCAGTCAGCTATAGAAAATCTTGCTTCTTTCAAGCATCAGCTTCTTTTCAGTTATTCCTACATGTTTTTCTGCAGTATCCCCACAGGAGTACAAGAGTCTGCCCCTCAGCAGCTCTACCTACATGGACAACCTGCCATAACTCTTTATCTTATTGACAGCTTGCCACTTTGCAGCAAACCACTATAGAAATATTTTTTCCTTAGTTTCTAAAACATTCATAACATATCACATCTGCTAGATGTGTTCTGCTCTACACAGGTCAGATTGAAGCCAGCTTCCCATTCCAAGACCGATTTTACTATTTCACTCTATACACACATTCTCTCTAGTTTGGAAAGAGTTGCAAGAAGGATGCTACACAAAGACGACTGTAAATCAGAAGTTGGCGTTAATGCAATTCCCTCTTCCAGCATTAAGAAATACTGTTAATGATCATCAGGGCAACTTAGGCACATTTTTTCCAAAACGCTGCAGAACAGGGTATTGGCAGAGAAGAAGGATTTCCATGGAATTAACCAGTTCTCTAGTGCCTGGAGTGAAAGCAGGAGAATTTCTTTGCCATGCCGCTTTCCTTGAATTCTGGCCTTGGCCTTTTGTCGCCTGCCTGACGTTGATGCTGGCTCCAGGGAGCTGGACTGCTTGACAAGACCTTACTATGCAGACAGCTGTGTGAGAGCTCATGTAGCTTATAATGTGAAGTTAATGAGCTGTGGGGGGGACTTGGAAGGGGAGGAAATGGCAGCAGAGTGAGTATTGCCTGCTCACTTTTCTAGACTGTGTAGCCAGACATTGAGTGGGAAGCAAAACAGCAGAGAGTTAAGGAGTTGGTTCACTCCAAAGAAATGAGTCTGAATCTACATTTGGCTCTCTTGCTCCCCAGACGGGAAAGGCTGCAGCAGAGGGAAAAGGAGGTGGGGATTATAAGTGTAAACATTAGCAAAGCATTTTGACAAGGAGAAACTTCTGGTGATTTTAATACATTATTTCAAAATACAATCTCAGGTTTGGTGAAGACCTCTTAATGGCATAGCAAACTCCAGTGGACAGGCAGCTCATGCCTGAGGCAGAGAAGCAATGAGTGGGCTTGTGGCAGCTGCTGGTCTGCAACCTCCCAACCCCAGTCAGGAAGCAGAGCATTTTGTTTTGACTAGTTGCTGCTTCTTTTGTTGCTGTCCATTCCCTCCCTCTGCCCCTCAAAGGACCTTTGCTAGTATTTTGGCTCCTCTGACTTTGCCCTCCTCTCCCACACTTTTCTCCCTTCCAAACCACTTGCTCTTTAAACCTCCCTCTTTCCCACCCAGTCACTCACTCTGTCCACTTTTACAAATACATATGGGAAACTTCTTGACCTTAGCTAGCCCTGACCATACTGCTGGTGCTTTACACTCCTTTCCCTTATGTCTGCCTTGTTTATTATGACAGTAAGCTCTTTGGGGTATCCCTGTTGACTCAATTCCATTGTTAAACATGGACATCTAATGCCATCTGCAACGTCTTAGGGTCTCCTAGGAAGACTCCACTGCTGTTCCATACCGGCCCAAGTCTTATGTATTCTAGGTCATATCTACAACCCCTAGACAGATGTCTCTACTACCTCAGGGCATCAGGAGTTACGCAATATCCATGTTCTGGCAACAGAAGCCTCACAGGTTCCCACACAGGGCTTAGCACAAAGGGATTCTCAAGTCTGCCAGGGATACTAGGGCACAAACAGAAGATAAACTACCTGTGGTTTCAACTATCCTAGAAATACCTCCTTGGCCCTCTTCCACATTTGGAAAATGCACTATCTAAACTAAACACAGAAGTATCCTTTCTACTGTGAAACTCCATTATCATTTGTCAAAATAAATACATAGGCAGCACAAAGATGTAGAGTCACATGAGCATAGCAAGATCAGAAGTATATCCTCTGCAATTACCAACTTCAGGAAGACTGCCATTTCCCTCTGTAGAGAATGTAAAGAAAACAGAATGACTGAAAAAAACACACACCTCAGGCTGTGGCAACAGTAGGTTTATGACAACCCACCTTGCACCACTACTGTTATTAAGGGAATAGAAGAAACTAAGATGTCAAGTTTCCACAGTGCCTTCCCTTGCTCCTCTTCTCTTGCTACTACAATCCACAAAAACATGCTTCACCCTTCCAGTTTGCTACAGAGATTGGAATTATATCAGGAGGTACCAACTGTTGCCAAGACCCAGCAGGAACAGCCTGCCTCTTCTCTCTGACCCCACAGAGAAGTCATTGCTGACCAAGCTTCCCAATCCTCTCAAGAGAAGGGCTAGCTTCAGACTAAAGTCTAACAGCAACAGCTCAGCCAGAGATTTTTTTTTGCCAATGTCATTATTTAAGACTAAGAGAAAGACTAGAGACATGGTCTCAAGCTTTTTGATTCTGGTAAACTACCATGTATTCCAAGTTTGGCTTATAATCCTGCCAAAGACTGCACTGGTACTCTTTTTTAGAAGATATCTCCAAATAATTTGCTATTCTCTGTAAGTCTAGAAACTAAGTTGCAAGCGATAGCCTGGTAGTGCAAGCAATGTTTTCATGATTTTGCGTAGAATGAATAAGCTCAATTCCTAGAGTGTTGCTGTAATTCCGGTCTTTGTTTTCAGCTTGTTCACTGGGGAAAAAAGAAGGTGGTTTACTGCAAAGTACATGTTCTGCATTTGAACAGAGGTAACCCGAGATTATGAAGGGACACACATACACTGGAAAAAGTTGCATAGTATGCAACTCTTCTGCTTTTGCAATAAAAACAGATAATCTAATTTTAAGCAGGAGCATATTTATAGACATTCCTAATGGAAGGAACTACACCTGTGCCACTGAAATTCAAGCCTTCCCTTTTCCCTTCCTACTCTTTCTGTGCTTTATATAAAGGTATCCTTCAGACCATGCTTATAGACAACACGTATCAAGGAGCTTCAGTTAGAAAACTTAACTGTGCTACAATTTCATTCAAAGCAGCAACCAGCCAGTGCAAGGGAGATAAACTTCTAAGAATATAGTCATGGATATACTGCTTTGTTGAACATATTGCCAAACTTGAGGCTTCAGAGACTACATAGTATTTTGTAAAGGAACTCCATCACTTTATCTAGCGATGGTACAGTACCTGCTTCAACTCTGGTAGAGCACATCTTAACAGCTATGGGGACATGAACAAATCTACATCCTGGGGGCTATCACAGTCAGGTCCCAAATCATTCCTGTTACTCTACAAAAGGCCAGCATAACAGTTTAGGCTTTGATAAGCAAAAGGCCACACTGTGTTATATCAAGTAATGGAGTAGAAGCCTCTACTCTGGACACCAAAGGCTTTGGGGAAAGTACTGGTGCTGTAGTCTTGTGCAGGAATTTGCCTTGCACTCCAAATGATACAGCTTAACTCCCTTTTTTAAGAGAACTTTATTTTAACAAAGAAAGTCTTTATCTCTCAGTGTTATTACAGGAAAGGACCCAACAAGAGGGGACAGAATTATTCCACATGTTGGTGTTCTTGCCTACTTCACAAGATACAGCTTGCACCTGCCAGAGTTTATCATACTAGCTTGGCCAAATGTGTAATTACCTCACTTAGAGGCACTTTATCCACAACAGGTAAACAGAGAAAGTCCATCACTTATGACTTCTCAACCTTTTCTTCCTTCTACTGAAGCCTGAAGGATACTTAGTCACATTCGCAACAGAAGTCTTCAGAAGTGGATCAATTTCAGGGTGCCTATGTAGAATCATAGGGTATCTTGAGTTGGAAGGGACCCATAAGGATCATACTGTCCAACTCCCTGCTCCTCACAGGACTACCTAAAACTAAATCATATAACTAAGAGCATCATCCAGATGCTCCTTGAATTCTGACAGGGTTGATGCCATGACCACTTCCTTGAGGAGCCTGTCCCAGTGACCGACCACCCTCACAGTAAAGAACCTTTTCCTACGTCCAGTCTGAACTTCCCCTGACACAGCTTCATTCCACTTCCTTGTGTCCTATCACTGCTTACCAGAGAGAGGAGATCAGCATCTCCCCCTCTGCTGCCCCCCTTTAGGAAGTTGTAGACTGCCATGAGGTCACCCCTCACCCTTCTCTTCTCCAAGCTGAACAAACCCAGTGACCTCAGCCCCTTCTCGTGAGTCCTGCCCTCCAGACCTTTCACCATCTTGGTTGCCCTACTCCTACACAAACCACTACTTTCTTTGGTGAAGAGATTACAGTTGGGCTCATCACCTATACCAAAATCAAACTCAGAATCCTCCTTCTACTCTAAAGTCAGAAAAGCTAATAAAGCCATCTTCAAGGCTAACATCAAAGAACAGGAGTCTTGGTGCAAATTGGGCTGCCTTTATAATCCTAATCTTACACGGTAAATAATTTATCACCCATGAAGGGGAAAGTTTTTCAACCCAGCATGTGAGATCATAGTGAGCAAAGAGGTTAACATCCCAATAACCACTGTCGGACATAGTAGCAGGTAGATCAAAATAAAAGCCAGCTGACTCTGTAAGATACATGAGTACATGAAGCGAAGGAGAAAGCATGTTTCCTGACTTCATTAGCCCAAGTTCTTCTCATTTCAAGCTCCTAAACTCCAACAGCCATGAATGGGGCCTCTTCCCTTAAATCCAGAAAACAAGTATATTACATAAAAAAAAACATTTATGTGGGAAAGGAATGAAGAACCACAGCAGTGCTAAACTGTTAGAGAAATAAAGTGGACAACCTAATCTAGACACATAAGCACCTGTGATTTATTTTTTAGCAAGAAGGTGGCAATTGTGCTGGAGTCCTATTCCCTAGAATAGCATTACAAAGACTAGAGTAGAATACACATTAAGTTAGTCATATTTTTCTATGACTAGTCCTACCTCTGTATCCGAATCTCAGATACAGGTTTCTGAACTCTGAAATATTTTTCAAATCATCAGTCTTTCTCAGGACACACATGCAGTTTCATTGTTCACAGCCCAGAATGCAGGGGGGGCGGGGGGAGAAAGGCTCTTGGGAACCTCTGCATGCTGCCTTGAAATCTTCATTCCCCATTTTCTCCCTCATGTTAATAGCTATAAACTCAGCCATTCTGAACATCTCCAGCTAGAAAAACTGCCTTTTTTACAACAGGGTTAAAAGTGGCACAACCAAAGTGTGTCAGAACAAGGCACACAGATGAAGAATGAGCCATACAGCATGACAAGGGCAGTTCAAATCCTTGGGACAAGGACCACCACTTAATTGTGGGGGAAGGTGGCAGAAAGTACAGAGCTCTGGAAATGCCTCAGGCTCCCTAGGGAAGCAGTATGGCTCCTACTTAAGCTCTCTTTCCTGGGAAGCTCTTAATTTATGTTTACAGTGAAATAAATGGAACAAAACAGTTTATTTGTGGGGGAGCATCTGAGAGGGTGGTTAGTGCAGCCCTGGGGAGGCAGCAGGAAGTGGGATAACCTCAGAGCCAGGCCCAGCAGAAAGTACATGAGGAACATTAGTTTCCACATACACAGCTCAGAGGAATCTAGAAACACAACTGAGGGAGGAAAAGGGAGAAGCACAAAAAGAGGCAGTTAAAGTTTTTTGGTGTGCTTTTTTTTAATCCAGTTGTTGATATTTCTGGAGTAGCTGATAAACTGCTACTTCACTAAAACTATTATCTAACTCATAAATCCACATGTATGCCAAGGTTCTCCAGCTTTGAACAAAGGCATCAGAGTAAGTCAGGAGGAGCTAAGGCCAGAGAGGTAACTAGTTTGGCAGGTAACTAAACAACATATCAGCCATGGCTCCTCCTTGATTCTTGACTGTCTCATCACCCCCAAATATCCAAAGATGACAGCATTTATGTGTTGAAAGCTGCAGAATTGTCAATACCCAAGTACAATGCAAGGACCACACAAATGGATTTACCTGTTACAGCTAGTTTAAATATAAGTCCCAATACCTAAACACAGGATAGCTTAAGCCAAGCTTGGTCTTTGGTTTAAGCACTAACTGAGACTAATTCTAGACTCATTTTCCTTGCCCTGAGAATCCATCTTCATGCATGTACCCACATGAGCAAAGGGCGGCTAAGAGCAGGAGGAGGCCTCTTTAGGGAAGGTTGGGAAGCAGCCACTGGAAAGCAGGAGAAGGCACACTGTGGTACCAGCCGCTGCTTTCTGGGCCTCATCCCAGCATCTGCTGCCAGCGAGTTCTCAAATTCCTTTGCCAGCACATAGTTCTGCATCCAAATTCTGCCAGAAATAGGCTTTGATGCCACCACGCGGTACTCTCACACAAGCACAAGCCCAGACGCATTACCACCGTCATTCCAGGCACTGCATTACACATTCCTCCCTAGTCCTCAGATGCATGTAGGACAATAATTCAGAACTACATTGGGCTACATGGCTCATTAGAAAATATTAAATGCTCTAAAGGGATGTTTAATCATCCACAGCCATCCTTTTCAAGGGCACTAGTGGATCAGCAACTTCAACTTTCCAGCACTTCCCCAGTTCCCTTTCAAGTCCCTTTTCATCATCCCATTTTCTAGCACGAGATTCTGATGAACAACACTGGCACAGGGGCAACTGTGCCCTCACAGAGGCCTATAGTGAGAAAAAAAAAAACCTTTATCCAGCTTCCTCGCAATAGGGAATACAATTCCTCTGCAGCATCAGAAAGCTGGAAGTTTCAAACACTCAAGAGCCAATCAACAAAGATGCCCCCAGTGCCTTACCAAAGCAGCTGCCACGATGTGAAAGAAAAGTTTTACAAGCTGTGGCAATGGCCAGCTCAGCAGAAACTACAGTCTTGATAATCAGGTCCTCCACGTTGGCCATCAGTGCTGCAAGAAGGGGAGGAGGAAAAAAAAAGGAAAATAGTAGACTGTGAAGTAGTACACAATATCTAGAAAAGCATGAAAATATGCATGTGGACAGATACCTTTGTGAATTAAAGCACGTGAGAGCCTATGGATGACAAAGCAATGGTGTTTGGAAATCCATGCAAGCATAAGTATATAGACACATGCGTAAGTATCCTAGTGCAAAAATACTCACAAATGAGAATGATAGAAGTGAGTATATGTACAGTGCAAGTAAGCAGAAACATGTGGCAAGCACATCAACACAAGTCAGCTGGAGTCTGATCACTGCCCACTCAGAGTATTAGGAAGGATTAAACAAGAGTGGGTTAGTGAGATAAGCCCTTAAACTACAGAGAACAAGCTGTGGCCATTGAGACACAGAAATTTTTCTGGTGGACTTATAACTGTTCTGTGATGTTGCACCTTTCTCTAAAGCAGCTGTTCCCATACCATGATTCACAAATCATTTCAAAGTGATATGACTGGTGACAGCTCCCAGTCCTGCTGACCTATAGATCATCTGAAGTTTCAGTAAGGAAGCTCTCTCCAGCTCCTGTACAAGCCTGTAAACAGAGCTCAGATTCCTGTTCCTGAGCTGACAGAGGGAGCAAAAGGCAAGAAGAGATGCATGTTAGATGTAGACCTGGATTCTACACTGGGCATGGGATGAGTCATGCTATAGAAAGAACACCACACATAGCTTCTGTTTTCAAGGACAAGCAATAGAGAAGCGAGAGGAGGAGGGAATGAACAAACACTGGAGTCCTCGTCTGAGAAGTTAGTAGGGATGATAGAACAGCCTTCCCCAAACCTCAAAGGGAGCACAAGTAAACACACAAGACCTCCAGCAAACCCACACATGCATTGGTAATCCCTGTCCCGAAGAACATCTAGTACAAACTACTTGACCGGAGATTTCGATTTAGGCCTACAATTACTATTTCTCACATTCAGATGATGACATGCAGGGACCTGAGTAATTAGAGGAGCATGCAAGCAAATTCGTATGTGAACTTCTGTGTCAGAAGACAACTAAGCTGAAGCAACACAGCATGGGAATGTCTAAGTGCACATAAACATCCCAGAGCACAAAAATGTTGCCAGCCCAGACAACGCCAGCACTTTCCAGCCAGCATTCTGCCTCCCTATGACCAGAACCAGATGCATTAGAGAAAGGTGCAAGAAGCTTTGTAATAGATAGAGAAACCTGCTTGCATTGCTCAGCAGTTCACTTAATAATTAAGAGTGCATGTTTTATACTTTAGGTTGGGGTGGGGTGTGGAAATGTATCAATATAAATAACTATGCAGACACAGCTTACTGAAAACATGGTGCGAGCGATTGGACAGCCATGTATGCATATGATGGGGAAAAAGTCTACTTCCATCTGAAAGCCAGATTCAAACCCCTTCCTCCAACATCTAAGCGTTCCCTGGCAATATTTGCAATAGGGCATAGCTGCTATCAGTAGTGTTACTGATGCCTCAGTATCACAGGTAATTTATCCCTTAAAGGATATACCTGGATTCTGCTCTGCAAATGCATTTACTCCCAGCAGACCTGGCAAAGGTGTGGAAGAGGGAGCTATTTTATATGAAACACAGACTGAAATGAAAACACCCAGCAAAAACCTGAGCCATGGAAAGATGACACCACATCCAAGAGTCATTCAAACTGGCACAGTTCTCCAGAGGTTGGTCACTCATCAGACTGAACAGGCCATGGGAGCAGTAGAGGGAGGGAAGCTTTTAGAAGGAATGGAATGACCTTAAGAAACGGGAAATGTAGGTAAAATATTAAGAAACACACCCTGAGAAAGTCTCAGAATATTATTTGCAAAAGGGAAGGGGTAGGCCTCATCTCTGGGGATGGGACTTATCTCTGGGGATAGAGAATAAGTGCTCAGCTCTAGTGAGTAAGCTGTAAAGAACAATGCTTCCCTCCACCCTGCTCTGGTGCTAAATGGGACTCACTGGGGCTCTACCCTGACTTCTTAGTATTCGCACTACTGAGATGACTAAGATCCAACAAAGGCATAAAAGAACAAAGATCTGTACTGACCTGCGGTGTCTCTCCCCTCTTGTTTTAAGTACCTCAGCATTGCACTCATGCTCCACTTGTTTCCATAATCCTCTACTTCAGGATCATCACAGCTAAAAATAAACGAAAGAAGCAAGCTGACACCACTGGCCTACCTCTATGGACTTGCACCAGCCTTAGACTGATTTAGGTAAATTGACCCAGCCTCTAGATATCAAGTTCCATTTTCCAGCCAAGTACCTGACATAATCTCCACTCTTCTTGTTGACACTGTAGTTGGTCAGATGCATGAACTGGTTTTTAATGTTCTTGGATGCCTGGTCATACCTCACTGTTGCAAACCTGTAAAGAGGGATAAAGATTCACAGTATTTCTTGACCAAGAAACATGTTTGCTAAATACAACCTACTACACAGACCACTCAACAACGACAGCTAGGAAGAGAATGCATGCAATGAGACTTCACCAAAGGCAACCTCTCCTGACAAAAAATACAGTTTATTCTCAAGGGCCACATCCAGGTATATTTTGTCTCTTTTTTAGTGTCTTAAAGCAGGGAACTCTATTTGTTCTCCTAGGAGTTTTCACAGCCTAACAGTGTACACATCATGCTAGGCACATTTTTTTCTCAACTGCTTTCAATCAGATGCAGGTACACCCTCTTTCACACATAACAAAGGACAGTGTTAGGATGCAGAGTCAGGACAGAAAGAGGGCAGTGCCTCCATTTTAGGAGCAGGCCACAAAACAACTTTTAAAAATAAATTAAAAAAAAAAAATCAAACATTAAGCAGAGGATAATACTATTTATGGAGACATTTGCAAAATCCTACATACAGACAAGGACATGCTATCAAGTTAAATATAATGTAATAGAATAGTTCCAGTTGGAAGGAACCTACAATGATCATCTAGTCCAACTGCAATAATTTTCTGCCTGTAATCAATTTCTGTTTCTATATATATTTTAGGTCTCAGACTTTGGAGAAAAATAGATTAAGGAAAAAAAGACTGAGGGCAGAAACCAGGGCATCTGGTTGGCAGAATGACTAGTATGAGCTACTGCTAGCCACCACAGCTCGTAACAGCAAGTATGTTCTAGTTAAAAAAAAAAAAAAAAAAAACACACCACCTTCTTCACTCTGACCATCCCCCTATACCACAATAGCTTAAGACGCCAATGTCTTGAAATAGATAAAGGGGAGTAAGAAAGCGTAAAGGGGAAGTCACACATATGCTATCCTAAGAAGCCCTGGCAAAAGGGAAAGAAAGCACCAACAAGAGCAGGGTTAGTTGCAAGAAAAGGAGAGTAGATTTGGGTGAAGCCTCAAAGCAGGAAAAGGGAGGCAGTGCTCAAGAAAAATGGAAGAGGGAGAAAGGGAGGGGAATTTGGATCATCCAGCTGTGCAATGAAGTTAGTGTCCAGAGAAGAATGCATCCCCAAATTACTTTATTAGTCATCTCTCTTCATCCTTCCCCTATCACTTTCTGTAGTTCAGAGAAGCTGAACTGTACAAGGACCTCTAACAAGTTACACACACACACACAAAAAATTCCTTCCTTTAGAAAGAACCACCAAAAAAAAAAAATCTAATTTCTCAGTGAAAACGAAGCCACTACTGCCCTCACTTGGTAGCCATTTTGAGAAATATCTCTCTCTTTCCACAAGAACTATACCAGCAAATCCATGAAGATGCTCATCAGATTAAATCTACCCTTAAATACACAGGTGGGAGCAGGAAAAAACACAAAAAAACCTCCATGATGGAACTAACGCTAAGCAGCAAGGTTAAAAAAAAAAAGCAAAAATTATTTTCCACTATATTTTTCTGAGCTTTAACTACATATGAAGTCAGAGCAGCTGGCAACAGAAAAGAGATTGGAAGTTTGGATCCCCTTTCCACATATTTCCACAGCTTAAAGTATTTTAATTTCTTTTCAGTTTAACTGTAAGTTTCCTGGATTTAGCACTTCTGTTTTGAAAATAGTGACAACAGCCCTATAATATATTTAGTTCTTAATTATGATTTCATCATCTCCACCTTAACAATCATTTATTGGCAGCATACTGAAAGCATTTGTTGATAATATGCTTTCAGCCAGATCCTGGAAGATACTGAGTATAAGCAGCAAGCCATTTCACAAAGTCATGGCTCCCTTGATACTTTGAAGCAGAGGGCAATTAGGTTCACCATGCTTATCAGCTTCTTATTTTTTTAATTAGGCACATAATCAGAAATATGAGGATATGAACCCCTGGCAGACATAGACAATAATTTTAAACAACAGTATTTCTTTACCTTGTAAATGCTTGCATTAGCTTCCTTCTACAGAGACCATCCTCAAATATTAGGTGATCTGAGCTCCATGCCCATAGAATTTACACTTCCATGGGCAGGAAATCCCCCAGAAGGGATTTCAATGTGTTCTAGAGCTCTCAGCACAAAAACTATCTCTTCGACTAGCATGCTGTCATCTTAAGGGATATCATAGGACAGTTCAGCAATGCATCAAAAAAAAAAAATTCAAAACGTTCAATGACTCAAATCTATTATCAAAAAAACCCCAAGCTTTAAACAACAGAATCAAATGCCAGCTTAATACATTCTCTAAGAGCTGGTTTGACAGCCTTACTAGCCTCATGCTAAGTGCAAGTCTGCAAATGGAAAATCCAGGTTATTTCTAGAGCCTCTATCAATAGCCTCTGGATGTTAAAATGGTGACAGAACACAAGTACAATGCTGGCAATAGCCCACACCCCTTCCATCCCAAGAAAGTGCAAAACACAGTGTAAGACCATTATTACCACTGAAATACCAGTTACGATTACCTTCAGTACCCTATAGTACCACAGCTTTTCACACTATACTTCACTGTATCTTTCTTCCACTGTGGTAACAAGGCTACTCATCCACCACACTTGTTCTCTCCAGGAAAGACAAGAGACTTGCATGCTACAGAATGTCTTTCTTCAACAGAATTTTACAGGTTACTTTTAGAGACACTAAGGTCATAGGACCAGGCCTTACAGTAAGTGTGGAAAGTAGGAAAACTTCAATGCTTCTAAAATCTTCTAGGTGTTAACCCGAGATTAGAAATAAACTATTGAGAAATCTTACAGTCTTTTAAAGGATGATTTCATTTTGAGGCCCCACTCTTTTCCAACTTCATTTTGGGGCCCTTCTAAGAATAGAATATTTGTCACCTAAGAGATAAGGGCCAAGATCCTAAAAGCAATTTAGAAACTATATGGTAAGGTGGCACAGAAAATAAAGGGCTAGCCTGATGTTTTCCCAGTAACACAATTTACCACAAGCACATGCTGCAACATTCTGCACAAGCTATTTTCCTAAGCACCAAAGGCTTCATGCCCAGGTATCTCATGTTGCTATAATCCAGCCAAAAAGTGATGAAGGCACAAATAACTGAGGCCAGGTCATCATCTGCCAGGATAAGACTGTTTCCTAGCCAAAGCATTACTCGTGGATGCTGCTATGTGGGAAGCTGCAATCAGCCAGGAATCCAAAAGTACTCCTAAACTGGAGGCAGGGCTGTCCACATGCAGAGGTGCATCTTCAGCCAAAGGAGACTATTTTATCAGGTGAAACTCTTCAAAACACTATCTTCTGCTCACTAACACCACCTCTTTCTTGCTCTGCTTCAAGCAACTCCTACTTTCCCCCTCTGTGATTTGATCCTGTCCAAGTTCTGGACTACTCCATAGGCTTTGCAATGCAGAGACCCAACACACTTAACACTGTTGTGTATCACTGGTAGTTAAGTTTGTGTCTGAATGGTCCAACAGCTGGATCCACACTGCTTTGAATTCTTACAAAGAATTTTCCTGTATGACTTGTCAAGTGAAAAAAAAAATAATCTAGAAACAGGTGAAATTTTCCACTATTAGTCAGACAGGAAGGTTTCCTGCTACTTCAGTGTATTCTTCTGATCCCACCTCATCTAAACCAGCAGTTCTTCTTAACAATGTGAAATATTATAGAGGTAACCAAGAAAGGAATTGGATGTCTGTTCTGTATCCACCATCAGAAGGATATCAACTCTGTTTTGGCTTGCTTTCTCCATAATGCAGGTTCTAACCACAAGTTTTCAAAGTTGGATTTCTCCTGTGTTGACTGAAATCTCTTTAACCTG